CGATATTGGCAACTCACCCATGGGAAGATATAATACCTTGTTCAGCACCACCTCATCTATACCAATAATTCTGCCATGTGCCACACTGGACCCATCCTCCGGATCCTAATTCTTCAAATATTCTGTTACCAATGTTATGTCAATTGGTGGTAGCTTTTGCGAAAACTTCAAAAACCCATACATCTGCGCCGTGCAAAACTCTCTCTGTCTCTTCTGCGACCAAAAGATGTCCATAGCTATTGGCTCTATATTGGTCACTATAACACACTCTATTGGTGGCATTTCGCCCTTCAATCTGATTGAACACGGTCTCTCATCTCTCGTAGCTGTCCTCTTCTTACGAATCACCATCTCTTCTACTCACAACAATACTCTAAACTCACACTCGGGAATACAGCTCACAAAAATTGCAATGTAAACAATGCAAAAATAGAGTCCCACTCCTAACTTCTACCATGTTTCTCCTCCTGAATTGATGTACTCTGACGTGCTTTTGACGCCTAGCCTATTAGGATTTTCGTAATGGCCTCTGTATTGCACTTCCTGTCTTAATCGCATTATTACCCATGTTACAATTTCCATCATAACACTTGCGCCGTCACTTCAGCATGTAATGACCACTCGTTCCTCCTCCCCACCAATATAGAAAAAACCCGTCCAGGTTTTATGTATTATGCAGGCGTAACCGATTTCCTAAATTGCTGCATCATTAGCTTCTTCTGTTGATATTGGTGCGCCAGGCTCCAAATTGGTAACCTCCTCCTCCACTTCTTCATCTTCTATTTCAGTGTTCAAGTCTTGATACTGGTGCATTGGTCTTCCCAATAATTGGAATTGGTTCTGGAATTGGCTTGATCCCGTTTGTAAAATTAGTTCTCTTACGGGTTAAGATTGGCCACCCAAATTGGTTGAAATTGGCTCCTTAAAATTGGTGAACAACCCAATATACTGGTCGAATTGGTTAATAAAATTGAACCTGCTATTGGTTCTAGTATCGGACTTTCCTTTTTAAACAGTATTGGAGTACCTTCGCCATGTATTGGTTCTTGCTGATTTTCAATAATTGGGTCTGTTCCAATATTTGAATTGGTCCTTCGTCTTTCAATATTTAAATTAGGTCTTTTCCAATCTGAAATTGGGTATTTTCCAATTTAATTGGGTCATTTCCATCTTTGAATTGGGTCATTTCTAATCTAAATTGGATCTTTACCAATCTGAATTGGCTTGTTGATTACCATTAGACTAGATTTCCCATTTATAAACTGATTTATATCTTTATTTTGTTCAGCGCATGAATTTCTTTCCTTTCAAATATGCCAGGATCCCATATTTTTTCATTACTTGACACTTGTAGAAACAAATTCTTCAAACTGCTATTTGATGCAATAATATTGCTTGAAAATAATATATGATAATACTTTGAATTCATTGCACACATACTTTGCTTAATGTTTGGAAAACATCCTTCATAAGATTTTGTAAATCTTAAACCACCAATATTGAGTATAGTCGTACAATTATCAATTAAACATGTCATAGACGTCTTAAGATCCATAATTATTTTATTAATTTTGAGATTAAAGGTTTGAGAATATAAAATTTCCTTCACACCGTCCAAATTTGAATGAAAATTCTCATAAAGAAACGCTGATATTTTAGTTTTCACAATTGATTTTTGAGTTGCAAAAGTTTTTCTTTTCCACATGTTGAAATCCATTGTCCTTTTTAAAATAATTTTTTTCAACAGCTTTGGTTCTTGCTTATCTACTTTAAGCAAATTTGACATGGTTTCATTCTTCAATTTAAAATTTGGTAAATAATGATGCCTCCAAGTACTAAAGATTGTAAATTTGTTGAATTTGACTTCAAAATATTTTATTAAGCAACCTTCAATGGCTTGATTGCAAAACAATGGCTTAACTTTTAATTTTGCCAAAGCTTCACCTCTTTGTCTAGCTAGAAATAAAATTCCTTTATTCTTTAAAATCTTTGATTGCAAATTTTCTTCAACTCCTTTTGACAAAACTTTGTTTGCAATGGCCTCAACTTCCTTAATTTTGAATCTTGATTTTTCTTCATTTAGTTGTGAAACTAAATTACTATTATTATTAATTAATATAGTAATCTCAATTTCCAATTTTATATTCTTATCTTTATATTCCAAATTGTCATAATTCATATCCTCATGCAATTGTTTGAATGTTGCTTCTTTCCTTTCCATACATTCAAGGTTTCTTTCTTCTAATTGTTGAAATTTTTCATGCTCATGTTGCAATTTACTTTTCAAATTATAAATAATCTTTTTTTGATTTGAAGTTTCTTCCAATAAATCATCTTTTTCTTCCAATGAATTGATCAAGTCATTTGTTTTTGTGCATAATTCATTTTTTAAAGATTCAATATACAATTCATAATTCTTTTTATTTTTCTGCACATTATGACTAAATTTGGTAAGATTATCCTCAGCCATATCACGTTGTGCTGTAATTGTATCACAAGAACTTTGAAGCATTTCCAATTTTTTTCCCATAACTTCAATATTTAATTGATAATTTTGCTTCTTGTAGTCATTATCAAGGTTAATTTTTTTCATTTCTTCCAATTGACTACTTAATTCTTCATTTTGTTGAGTCAATTTTGAAATATCAGTTTTCAATTGTAAAGTTTTACTTTCAAATGTAGAATATACCTTTAACAATTCTTCTCTTTGATATTTCATATCGAACTCTTGTTGTTTCATATCCCTAAATATCCTTTCTTCTTGCAATTGATTTTCCCGAATTTGAAAAGTTTCATGTTCTTCTCGCAATTCCAATTTTAAATCATTGATCATTTCATCTCTTATTAAAATTTGATCAATTAAATCTTTTCTTTCACCTTGGAATTTTTCAAGTTCATACAAAAATTGCAAGCCATTTTTATGGAGATAACTTTCTCTTGATGACCTTGGCCAAAAATTCTCAAAGTCTAAATCAAACATTCTTATAATCCTTTTATTCAACTTTCAATATTTTTATTATTGGAATTATTTCTCTTTTCTATTTTACATTCAATTTTTAACACTTCGTACTGTTGTTCTTTCCCCGGCAGCGGCGCCAAAAATGTAATTGTCGTTTGACTCGGACTCAAAACACCAAGATATTTGATCAGTATAGGTGGGTTCGATCTCGGGGAAAGACTCGTTGTATGAATTGGATATGTTATGTCACAATTGATTATGTATTAATTATCTAAAACTTCCAAAGTTCTCTTCCTCATCTCAATTCAATCCCTTCACAATCTCTACAATCGTTCATTGCCCTGCAGCTACTCAATATCACTGACATTCTTGACATCTACAGGATGCTTAATCTCTTTCCACAGTACTTCAATTCTCAATTCCTTTACTTTTACTCAATCTTCCAGTGCTACTAACACAATACAATAATCTCTATTATCACAATCACACTTTCTTTCTCCAAATTAATTAATTCGAATTCATAATTTTCAATATCTCAATCACAGTTTCAGCAATCCTTTTCTTAAATCCAATACTAAAGAAAAATACAAAAGCAAAGAAAACAAAAGGGTAGCTCCAAGCTTTACCCTGGCTCACGACTATCACAGTCTAGCCCCCATTCCTTCTTCCTCAACCTCTTTATCCTACTCAACTGATATGGCAGTTAACAGATTCCAAAAGGTACGTATTTTGGCCTGTTAACCGCTTTTCCCGCTAACTACCAATTCCTACCAATACCAATTGGTAACCATCCGACCAATTCCAGATTTTACCAACAAAGAATTGGTACGGGGTTTCGAAGACCAATTACCAATTCTACAATAAGCTTGTCTTGAAAATTAAACATGTGTTCTGTAAATTAGACATATGTTATGCAAGTTGCATATGTGTAGGAGATTCTAGTTAAATAATATATATAAAAGTAAGAGTGAGTCTTTTCTCACTCTTGTCAATTTTTTTTTTGCTTCTAGTTTAGTTTTAAGAATCTCTAACTTTCTTATCTTTTGGCAATAGTCATCTCTCTCTCTCTCTCTCTCTCTCTCTCTCTATATATATATATATATATATATTTACATATATTTTCTTCTTTTCATCTTTCTTTGAGAAATGCTTCACTTGTTAATTTACATTCTTTGAATTTTTTTTTCTTTACAATATTAATATTTAATTTTTTTTAGATATTCTTGTTAGAAGCTACTATTCACTATTATCTTAAGATGCCTATGATATTAATTTTTCTAATCTAACTTATTTTATCTTGTTTACACCCTTACAAAATAAATAGTGGTTCATTTTGCAAAAAGGTACTATTAGCAATTATTAATTTTATTACATCTTTGACTATTATCTATATTTTTGAAGTAATGTGCTATTATATTTTGAAATAAGATCTTTTATAATATAATCTTTTCTTTTCTCTTACATCCATTAGTTGTATTATAATACAATGACATTTCATTAGAAATTTTCTTGTTATAAATATATGAGCATCAAAGAACAAGCCAATACTTGATACAAATGTTTCAATAAATATTGAAGATCATCTTGAGTTTTTGAAGTGTTTTTTCATTTGCATTTCAATGTGATCTTAATTATAAACATGATCAAAGCCAAGTCATTGCTTGTCATCTATAACAAATGCTTATTAAAAATATGATAATACCAAGCATCTAACTACCATCTAATTATTCAACTAGCAAAGTTATGGTATGATATATATGTTGAAGATTCTCACCAGCTTATGCATTGTGCAAAAATATTTAAAGAGTTTCTCAATGTCAAGTTTGGATTTTGCTAGTTGGATTAAACTTGTTTTACATTTTAAATTTTTTTACAAAAATTGATACAGAATTTTTATGTTCTAATTTTGGCACAAATGAAATCAAAGCAAAGTTCAAATTGCTAGTTGAGATGGCCTCATTTGTATCATACCCCCAAATTAGCACCATGAGCTAACAACAAACATCCCAAATAGAGCACTCATTCATCTATTTGACCTTGGTTGAATCAGAAGAGGAATTACGATTCCTAGCACTTCACTCTTGTGCAATATAGTGGGGGTCAAACAATGATAGGGTTACATGCTATGCACAGTCAAAAACGGATGACAAATCCCCTTTCTAGTGAACGCACAATCTGATAGAAAGAGGCTCCTTTCAGGTGGAGGATCATCCATGGCATCCATAGAGCTGGACAAATTACTATCTGCACAGCTACCTACAGGATTAAGTATTTCTCCACATCGTTCAATACAGCGAGACAGTACTGAACAGCCCACACCCAATTCAAAACTGTAGTGATCATTAACCTGGAACAACACACGTCGCTGGCAGGTCCTACGAAGAGCTACCAATGCTTATTGCAGTTTCATATCGACCTCCGGGCTGACGTGGACGACGGACCAAAATACGAAAGGACTTCTGGATCCACCACCAGAGTCGCCGATCAACAAGCGTGGAACTCCAAGACCCCATTGACGTTGGCCACACGCATGTTCAGATTGAAGCTGGTGGGGTTGGACCCACCGGCGTTGTTGTTGCAGGTTGCCTCAATCTTGAACACATTGCTGTAAACCTGGATCTCTTTCATATCCCTGCAAGAGTTGCGGAAGCCCGCACCGTTCACCAGCCGGCCACTGGTGTTCCCGATGTGGCCATTGAGCTTGGTCTGGGCTACCACAATTAGACCATTCTTGTTTGGGCACTGTGCTTGAAGTGTGTCCTAGGAAAGGCAGTTCCCACCGCGGAGGTCACAGCCCTCATACTGTACATTTGTGCACGACGCCAGAAAGCCAACGCATGCAGATCATTGACATTCCACAACCCACAGCACACACATTCATTAATTATCCATTTACAGCAATGTGACTGTGATGGGGAATTGATCTCTCCAAAATTAGTAGTGATTGAGAAGGTGAGTAGCAATGTATAAGTTCAGAGAAGGCAGAACCTCAAAGGGTATGCTGAAGGTTACAGCTCCAGTAGACTATGCGTTGTTGTGATACTCTTGGCTCTACGCTCCTCTCTTATAACTATCCTGGCCCGGCTGAGATTGGAGTGAGAAGGGAATTTTCAACTTTGAAGATCGACCTCACCTACTTCACCGCAGCTTTTAGATCATCACAGCACGAGTTGGGTCATCGAACCGCGGAGCGCGAACCACACAATATAATAACAAGCTGGGTTCTAAGAGCGGAGAGTCTGGAAATAAATAAAATTTCGTAGTTTTTGGTGCTTTCCTCTACTATGCAACCGGAGGTGAACGACTTCCGAGCCCCGTGTGATGACCAAGCAATGTAACCGTCGGTCAACTACCTTCAAGCCCCGTTTAATAACCTGGCAACGTGTGTGAGCCCGACATATTCTTCCGGTTGGAGCAGCCGGTAAGTCTTTGCTGCAAAAAAACCGACCATGAACGGCGGGTGTACGTTTACTGTTTTGGATTTGGATTATGCCAGGGATATGTACCATATAACATTCTAACCGATTGTCAAATTCGCCATTCATTGACCGACGACTAATCCTCAGGACGCTAGGATGAATATCAAAAATTGGTCCCAAGTAGAATTTCCACGTACATGGGTAATTCCTCAATGTTCTCCAAGGGATTTAAAGAAATTGGAACAATATTGGTATTTTTGGGACATTGAGCTTTACAGTACATTCCATACCTTTGGCAGCTCTTGCACTGCCTAGAAGCACACAACATCATATGCATTAAACTGAGCCTAAATGCACATTTTGGAACTTTCTCACTGCTTATATAGGAGTATTTTGTTCTTAGCTAAATTTCAAATGGTGCATGTAAATGACCATTTTCAACTCAACATAAATTTGTTTGTTGGAAAATTGAACTTCATCATCTGATGATATCATCTTCAGCTTCAATTCAAGTAGACTTTGCTTGAGCAAAAGTCAACATCATCCTTACCTAAGGCTTTATTTAAAATAAACTTCATCCTCAGCTATAGTTAATTTCAACCACATCCAAAATCAACATCTCTATTACTCAAAGATTGCTTCACCCTCAATTGAAATCAATTTAACAATTGGCAAAAGATTCCATCATTCTAATGTAATTTCAACTTTGGCTTTATGAAAGCTCAACATTAATACTTTAATAGTAAAATTTCTAAATAGTATGAATGTCATTGTTGAAATGATGGAACAAATTTTTATAAAAACCAAGAATTAAAATATATGTATAGCTTATATAAGTTTATATCCAAAAAAAAAAAAAAAAAAAAAAATCTTTAGATATCTTTATACTACTTTATAGAAGATTGAATAGCAAGAGATTTTCTCTTTATACTTTTTCATGCCTTTAATGATACTATCCTTGATAATGGTGCATTATATAATATAATTATTGATTGAGATTTGATTGCTACATGTATTCTATGAAAGTATAAATTGAAGGATTTGAAAAATAAAATGATCAAGAACCAACATATTTTGAGCATCTTATAATAAAATGGTTTATTAAGTAATTATAACTATTGTTGATATGTTTGCTATAAGAAGAATTGAATCACAAAATCCTAAAATCCTTTTTGCCTCTAATTTTTGATAAAACAATTATATCTTAAGATTGAATCTTTTGACAACTTTTCAACAACTTTTAATATATATATATATATATATATATATATATATATATTATTATTATTATTAATGGTCTTTTTAAAGAGTAAAATTTATATTAAAACTTTCATTGAGTAATCACAAAACTTCTAATATGTATTTGATATCATATTTATTAAATTAAAATATTTTATGATATAAATTTTTAATATTTTAAATCTCACAAGCCTAGAGATAGGAGTTTCAAAATGCATAATTGATTATGTCATAATTTAATGGATTTGGTATTAGTTGATTATTTAAAGTTGTTAAGGACATAAATATCAAAGAAATAGAATCTCTATGCATTCTTGTGTTACTCAAAAAGACTAAAAATTTACTCAAAGATAATGATGTATTGAATTAAAATGGCTATTGCTAAACACAAGAAGACTAGAAAGACTTGAAAGAAGTCTAAAGACTAGAAAGGTATTGACAAGAGTGAAGAAGGCTTCACTCTTGCCTCCATATAAATATTCTCTAACTAGAAGCTATGTGGTGATATTTTATAGGACCTCCAATATGTGTTGACTTTGTTAGACACATGATTTAACTTACAAAGTAAGTTATTTATATATACACCACATAGTTAGCTTGTTTTATAAGATACTAATACGTGTGTCACGTAGCTAACTTGTTGACAAATGTTTTAGCCTATCAATTAACTACAAATACATATAAAGTCAAAGCAGAGTCTATGAAGTTTTTAGAAAGCTTTTCTAAAAAAATATTATGAAATTAATCTCTTTTAAATTACTAATACTTAATCATATAGATAATTATTGGAGTAAATATGTATGTCTATACCAAAAGCTTATTCAAAAATAAGATCCATCATAATTTTTTGTACCTACAATAATTCTAAATAAATATAAAAAATAAAATCAAGTCTATCATAACCTTGTACTTAGATGGCTATTGACCACACTCACTTTTAAATCATTTTATGTAAAATCAATTACAACTCATACTACATCTATTGTAATATTGTAACACATCTATTTAAAGAAAGAAATAAATAAAATTAAAAATTCTTCTATTTATTTTATAATATTATAAATAAAATAAAATAAAATAGATTAAAAAATATAATATTATAGAAATCTTAAGATAAAAGTAAAAAATAGCTTTTGATATAAATTATCTAAGAATTTTTTAGATTGTTACTAAAAACAAGACTAATTGTAAACTAAAGATAAAAACATACCTTGAGGCATAAAACCATGTGCCTTTGGCAATTGCAAGTTTTTTTTTTGATTAAAGATTAATGTTAAGATAAAAATTTAATGAGGTTTTTTAAATTTTTTTCATCAAGTGATTTAAAAAAATAAGGAATTTTTAGAAGCTTTGCAAATTTAAGATTATTTTATATGACTTTATTTTTTAGTAGAAGAAAAAAAGAGTATATATTTTGGACAATTTTGAAAGTATTTAAATAAATTTATATGTAAGAATTTATAAGATTATAAATATAAGTGTACTAAATATTTAGATAAATGTATATATTAAAATAATCTTAATATTTTTGTTACATCCAAGTAATATGAATCATAGTTTTAGTGGCATGTCGAGGATCTACAATGCAATTGATTAAATGACTTGTATGAAAGGAATCACTAGAGGTGGCAAAAAAAGTGCACTTAAAGTTGGAAATTACATAAGAAAAGACCTTTATATTGGTATGAATAATAGTACTATGAAGAAAATATTATGTGAAGCAGATTTGAAATGCAAAGTGAAGCAGAAGAAACCAAAGGTCATACTTTGTGAAGTTAAGATAAGATTTGAATTTGCTAAATTATATTGTCATTAAATAGATGATAGATGGAATTACATAATATTCTTTAATGAATTAAAAGTCAATTGCTTTTATTTTATTGGTTACAATTGATATTGATTTTGTAACGAGTAGAGTACAAGTATTAGAATGGTACAATAAACAATTAAGTTTGGAGGTGGAGAAGTGATAATATGGACTTACATGATTCCTAATAATCCTAGTATAATGTGTAGGATTGAAGGAAAAATGGATCAGTATATGTACAAAGAAATTTTAGAATAAGAATTGATTCAAATAGTACATCCATATAATTTAAATTTTACAAGTTTGATTTTTTAATATGATAATAATTCCAAGCATATATCTAAAAGTATGTTTTGCTAGCTCAATTTGTAAGGATTTTTCTTTTGAAGTGGCTGACATAATTTCTTGACTTCATTCAATCAAATATTTGTGGGCAACTTTAAAATATCAGTTGAACCAATATAAAACATAGCTATAAGGAATATTAGAATTATCATAGCATATTGGAGATTGTTGAGCTTCAATTACTTCCAATAAGTATAAGAACTTATATAAAAGTATGTATAAGTATATTAGAGCTATAATAGTTACTAAAATGAATAGATTTTTAAATTTGTTTTATCTATTGTGAAAAAAATTGGATTTTGGATCTATCTTCATTTTAGGTTTTCTTGTATATGTATATTTGTGTATAATAGACTTCAATTATCATAAAAGTATGTTTAATTATAATGATAATCTTATATAATTTATGGTTTTATTTTTGTTTCATTCAATTTATTTATACTATTTATTGAATTTGAACAAATTGATTTCATATTCAATTTTAGTAATCATTGTATTATAGATAATTATTGGAGTAAATATTTTTTTTGTGATAGTAATATGTGGCTAAATTTTTAATTAATCAATCACTTATAATTACTTATAAAATCAAACTTGCATCTATAAAACTTTTAAAAAAAAATTCATAAAATATTATCATATTTATTTATTTATACTTTTATATAATGTTTCTTATTTTTTAAATCATTAATATTAATATTAATATTGATAATATTATTCTTTCTTCTAATATAAGTTCCACAAAGGAAGGTAATCACATGTTGAAAAAGTCTAAGATGTGGAAAATCATATTAGCTACAATATCTGATCTTTGAAATAATTGAAAGGTGTTTTCAACCATCAATAGTGTTTCATACCAAAGTAAGAAGACCATCTTATTATATGATTATTATTGAGGCCTTTACAACTTCTTTGAAATAAAAACACTTGGAATACTATCAAGAGTGGTTCCTACCTCCAACAATATTATTAAACATCAAGATTTAATATTATAAAATCAAATACATTTTTATGTTATATGAATTTTAGCTTCAAAATTCATATGAAATATAGCAGTAGAATAATTTAAGCTACATTGAATTTGATTTTATAAATCTAAAAAAAACATAATATATTCATAAATGCTCTAGAAATCTTGAAAAAACCTAAAAATAATACTGATTAAATCTAAAAGAAATCATAAGAAACCATAAAAAAAATCTTAAAAATTCCTAAAAAAATAAAAATAATTATTTAAGAAATCCTAAAGAAATCCAGAAAAAACCTTAAAAAAATAAAATAAAATAAAAACTTAATCTAAATAATGTCTTAATCAAACCTAAAACAAACACCATTAGTACTTCAAATTTCAATATGTTTTATATTAAAATTTAATATTTATTAAAAATTTTCCTATATCTCAATTTATAAGTCAATAATAAGTATACAAAGTTTTAAAAA